TCAGAGGCAAACTAATGCAAATGATTGCGCGAAATAAATGTAAATGATTTTCCATGCCTGGCAGAACTAGGATTCGGTGGTAGATCTTATACCAGTAACGCACCATAAAAAGGGTATCTACCAGCGTTACTGGTTGGACTTCGGGGTCCGGAGATATGGACAAAAACTTGTCGACTGCCTATTAGAGCTGGCATTCCTCAGGTTAGCTTTCTTGTGCCAAGATAGGATAAATTTTTAACATCAAAACATTCCCATTTGTCCTTGGATGTCTTACTGTGTTCAACGATTGTGCAGCCTAATCCGGGTTAATTTAAAAATAGTAGCTTTGTGCTTGATGAACGCATAACTCTCAATGATTCCTAAAGCCAAATGTAATAAATTTTCACATGTCTTCACCGCCACTTTTGAACATGGTTAACCCAAGTCCCCCCTCCATCCTAATTCCCTCTTTAATCAAATTTTCAGGATTTTGATAGTAGTAGTGTTGCCATGTGGTACACTGAAAAATTGCAATAGCAGGTTCGTCACCAAAGTTTTTGAGCCGCTCCGTCTGTCACTTCGTTTGTGCTAAGAGTGTAAAGAATCACAGTTGGTTGGTTGTCATTATATTTATTTACAACATGGCATCATCGGAGCAAGCACATCGCGATTCGATCCTGCTCGCTCGATACGAAAATCCCGGTCTATCTGCTCCTCGGTTGACCAGAATGGTGCCCCGGAAGAATGTATAATCAAAAAGAAATCGAAATTCCCCAAAAAGCTCCTTTTCTGGGAAACAATGTGCAATTGTGGACTGAAAAGTGAAACTTTCGTTACTTCTGGGACCATGAACCAGTAAATTTACCAGAAGTGCCTTCTGAAGGGATAACTGCCTTTTCTGGAGCAACATGAGGTGGATTGCCTATTCTGGCCACTACTCAAATTCCACCAAAAAGGAGTACAGCAAAAATGGCGTCACAGTGGTTCCCAAGGAGATGAATCCGACCAATAGGGGAATACTGGTCAATTGTGAAGCATATACCGAAGAAAAACGATGTAACTGCAATTGACCCCTCTTGATACACTAATCCCCATCTAGCTTCCTCTATTATAAAGTCTGATCCACTTAGAATCCTGACCTTTTATTTATTCTATAGCAGTGCCTCTAGTGGTCAGATTTGGAATGTTTTGACAGCATTTTTTTTTACGTACACGTGTTTCAGTGGTGAAAGTTTCATCTTAACACGTGAAGTATTAAAAAAGTTGTACTAGATGGAAGACGAGAAAGAAAAATTGACCTGTACACCCACGTCGAAAACCCGACGTGGTCAATTTGAAATATCACGAAAAAGTTGACAATTGCCATTTCTACCGTGGGAGATGTTTTCCAGTGTGGCCCGGAAGGTTCAAAGCAAACGTCGTGCTGAAATTTTGGATCGGCAGCTGAACTGGAAGGTGTTGAGGTCGATCAAGAGAAACCCAGGATGTCGCCAAAAAATACGGTACCAGCCGTAGTACCGTCCAAAGGATCCGTCTGCAAGCAGGTGCTTCCAAGCAACCAAACAAGACGATGAAGCAGAATCTAGTGGCCAGAACACGCGCCCGGAAGTTGTACGACCGGGTTTTGACGAAGTACAGAGGATGCCTTCTCATGGACAACAGAATCTATGTCAAGATGATTTTCAGGCAGGTTCCCGGACAAAAGTTTTATCTGGACACACATGATGCCCCAGCAAATTCAAGTTTGTTTTCGCCGATAAATTCGCCCGGAAACTGATGATCTGTCAAGGAATTTTCAGCTGCGAACTCAAAACCAGTGTGAATTCCATTTAGCATTTTTTCATGAATGTGCAATAAAATACTTTCATCTTGACAAAATTACATTTTTCTTACGTCAAATCAATCCCGAGAAACACCTGGTTTCATGTGTCCGGATTCTAAGTGGATCAGACTTTATTATTGAAGTCAACCGTGTCAGTATAAATTTGATACCGTTAGCTATTTATATGAAACCGGAAAAAATGTGTTGAGTACCCCGGCAAAACTAGGAATCGAATTACCTAAATCCAGTGGCCACCTGCTCTTGAAATTTACTCTAAAGATCTCTTTGGATTCTTAAAAATTCTCGGTAGAATTTGCTTTAATTTTTCTCCATTATATTCTTTACAATTCGCTTGGAATATTCTTGGAAATCTCGTGGTATGCCATTCAGAATTTAGAAAAGTGTTATCTCATTTTCATGGATTCCACCTCAGAATTCCATAGCAACTTTTACCAGAATTTCCTTAAACATCAAAGCCACCGAAAAATGTTACTCCAGCCGAGTTACTAACAAAAAAAAATTACTTAGAAAATCGATCATCGCAGTTAGGCCCTTATGATTCTGAACGCTAGATTTATTTTGTTTCGCGTAATCGCGAGTTTGATATTTCAAACAATAATGAAACATTCTCTGCAACTTACCTTTTGAGAAATGTATTGTGATGTAGGAAGTAGCTTAGTTGAGATAAGTACTGATGACCTTTATTACCCCACATTAATAAACATACTCAGTTTAAACAAATTGGTAAACAACAACAAAAGCAGGTTGATCATAATCAACATAACCTAGCTCCTCAACAAAAAAGCTGATTCATGCTTTCAACCGAAAACACCAGGATTCTTGGAGCCTTCGAATGAAGAATTTATGTCACGTTAGTCACGTTGCACTGTGCATGGTTTCCTTTTTTTCTAATCTTATCTCGCTCCAAAGATCGCAATCTACCCTCGTTCTAACAATCAATATTTTAGTAAACTGACGACATGCTTCGAGCTTCTTCGCCAAATTGCACAAGTCACAACGTGCTTGCTTGGATTGGACCACGCGATCAGTTCTACACGCGACAATCAGCGAATCGATCAACGGTGAGGAAGGAAGAGTTTGGTTTTCTCTACTTATTTATTTTGCCACTAGGGTTTTCAGGGGCGTAGTTTCCTTCAAATCATGAGGGATGCTATTTTCGGCGACACAGGTGAGAATGATACTATTTTTGGTTTGGTTGCTTACCTGTGCTTTTGGTCGGCAGGTGGGTGGGTGCAATTGCAAAGCAATTAGCGTGGCAGACTTTTGCCGCCACATTTTTGTTTACCCATCCGGCACGGGATGTAGGATTGATTGGTCAGTTTTGCGGATGATTTCTAAAGGCTATTCTCGACTGATATTCGTCTTAATCATCACCTATGATTACCGCTTTCAGTCGAAATGGATTTCCAAAAAAAAAATCGATCGAAAACGAAAAGAGGAGCTTGGAGGCCATAGTATTAACCTTTCAAGAATGAGGAAAACTTCAGATACCACAAAATAAATAATCCACCCACAATCACTTGCTGCAGCTATAAGTAAAAGGATGTGGGAAGGTAGGTAGAAGGAGGTAGGAAGCCTTGACTACTGCCATCAAAGGTTTGGTCATACATATGCCGCGGATACACTTGTATTTCAAACTATGAGCATGAGCCTTATTTGTATAATAAAACTCATGCTCATCCATGGTCACACTTGTATAGTGTTTGTATATTGCTCATAATTATTATGTCATACAAGTGTATCTGCGGCAATAGGATCATAATATTTACATAGTTTCAGGTATCCATGAGATGAATGGACATTGATAGCAAAACAAATGAAAGAAAAAGACCTACTGCGTCATGATTACCTGGGTTGGATTTGTACAATAAAGGATGTCCTTAAAGAGCTTTAACTGTTGAAATTCAATCAGATGAATGTGGTACCTGCCATTTGCTCTAATTGCATTGCAGTTTGCGTTGGTTTGAAATTGCAATTACTCGATGAACATTTCAAATGGTCTTATCTGCTTTGATCGATTGTCTTCATCGAGTTTCTCTTTTGATAACCAAGCCTACGCAAATGCATTTCGTGTTATTTTTGCCACACAGTTTGATAGCAGGAATTTCTATATTGTACTTAGAACGTTGAACACAGCAGGAAATGTTGAAGTTGAGTTATTAACGAGAGAGAAAGTCGATAAAGAGAATCGATCAATGCAGATAGGACCTTTTGAAATGTTTATCTAGATTAGAGAAAGAAAACAATAAATATACAAGCATGCTCACTAGGGTGGGTCAACATTAAAACCCCATGTTCTCTACTGCTCTTTTGATGCGCATTGAGGTCCCCAATAACTGTGCATAATTTGAGATAGTTTGGTTATGATCTGGATTTGCGGGAGAATTTTAAATTTTGAATGGGAAATAACACGAAAATATTCATTTACTTGTCAAAAATTCAAAAATTGCTCAATTTTAACCAAACCTCGGACTTAGATTCATTTCCCCCGCAAATCCAGATCATAACCGAATTCGCTCAATTTTTTCACAGTTGTTGGGGACCTCAACACGCATCGAAAGAGCAGTGAAGCACATACGGTTGTGATTTACCATATAAACTTGACCCACCCTAATGCTCACACCGTGTTACTAAACATTAGCTTTTGAAATAACATTTAATAGTTTGAATTACATAATAAACATCAATTGTCATCCATATGAACCGAATCATATTTTTATTTTCCGCACTTCGACAGGTGAAACCGTAATCGAAATGTGTCTTCCAGTTGGACTACCAAACGGCTCCACTATCATCACCTCTGCTACACTACATTCAAAAGGATTTTCTCGCTGCTCTTGAGAGCGGAATGTCCCTGCACAGAGCACACATCATAATGTGCGAGCACTTTTGTCAAACTACTCTCTGTTCGCTCAAGCAATTGGCCACTCCGATTGGTCCTGCACTGCGCTGCGGCGGCGGTCAGACAGGTCACCACATTCTCAATTTTCGAACCGATGGATGGCTCCGTGTGCCTTTTAGTGAGGAAGAGAGTGAAAGAGCAGATGGAGAGAGAGAAACCTTATCGCGCCTACTCTTCTCGGCTGTCAGACGACGGAGAGCGGTAACTATTGTGCATTGACCGGCGCGACCGAGCGACATTCGAATTTATTACCAGACGTCGGGAAGCAGGTCGCATTCAGTCTTCGATAAACAGTCGAAGCATATGGACGTACTCTTGTTCAGTTGTCCGCAAAAAAAATATAAAGGTTCCTACTACATCACAAACAAATGATAGTACCTAAAGCTTAACTAAGCAGACAGTCAGTAATTGAATATACAGAGTAGGAATCGCCGTCGCCAATTTTTGGATTGGAACCAATCAGCGATACATCAGTTCAAGCTAAACAACCAGTGCCGCACAGCATCCACCAGTCCGTCCATCAGCAATCATAATACTAATATCAGATGTGTTATCATCAACAAGTGAGAGAAAAAGAGAATTTCTCCAGATAAGAGACGCAATCCAGCAAAGTGAAGAATAATGTAATTTTTTAACAGGGAGAAAGGAAGAGATTCGGAGAGTGAAGTGAAATTACGTCTTTTGTTGTAGAATATACCTTTTGAAAGCCAAATTGGTAATGGCAGTCGTGTAAATGTTCCGTTGAAGTGTAGTGAATTCGCCGTGGAAAATCGGTGTACAAGTCTGTAACTTTGTCCCAAAATTGCATGTATAGTGTGAAGATCAAGTAGACCAGTGCGAGAAATTGCGAAAAGCTGAAAGTGTACTGTTCCTAATGTCTAGAAGAAAGCTAAGCAAAAAGGAAACATTCTACACAATCCGCAAGCACAGCTAGCGGCCTTTTGTGAAATGAATAGCTTCAAATAAGATTACAGCGAAAAGCCGGTGTGTGAACTTTCTAAAAATACTCGTTTCAAGACATAATACAGTCGAGAAATCGAAAATTTCCACGCGCATTTTCTCGAAGTGGACGCCGCCGTCGGAATTGGTAGTCGTTAATACTGCAAGGATCAGGCAGCAAAAAAAATTGATCCACCATACTACGCCATACGTTGGGCGAAAAAATAACGACCGTGCTACAAAGCTACCAATTCGTGGATAATTCGCTCCATTCGACGTGTCAGTGCAATACCAATCAACTGAGCCAAGTAGGCGTTGCTTCGTATTCGGATTTGAGGTAAGTTCACCAATGTATGCCTACTAGGTTAAACACTCGAGCTTTCGGAATGCCTTTATGTATCAATGACAAGCTTTACAAACCGTATTTGTCCACCAAAGGGCAAATATGATACCTCGTCGTCGGACATATGTTTGTAAACATTATAGGTATGTATACCCACGTCAGCAACTAGCATTACGGTTGCCACCAGCAACACTCTGGGCCAGCAACATATGCGTCCAAATATTGGGGGTGTAAACGAAATGAAAGTTGTCGTCAAATAATCTCCGACTCGGTTGCATTGCCTGCCTGCCTGCCTGGCTGCCTGCACGCCAACACATGGAATGTCATCGTCGTGGCAATGCAGAGGAAAAGAGGAACAACACACAGTCAAGAAGCCAGAAACACTCCACACCGGATCGAAAGTGCCTAGAGCTGGGCCCTTTTCAATCCAGTTGAAAAGCCCATAGAGTAGCGAGCTAAAGAGCGAGAAAAGCACACAAAGCAGCAACCTTTTAACATTTTCTCGTTCATTGAATTGACGCATGCTTTGATTTGGTGTAGGTTTCGGGTTTTAGGGCCTGCTTCCTCTTTGCATGGAATGCATATCCACATCGTACGATGTGGTGATTAACGATGGGCCTGGGTTCTGCCTCAAACTTGGTCTACGTTGATGTTGGATTGAATGATTCGAGAAATGCAGAGCAACTAGAGGGGAAGATGAATTTTTGATTTCATGTTTGATCTGTGTCCATTCGATGTAAGCTTTGGGTGTTGTAGACGCTAATAGGATGTGAAATTGACATTAAATGAAGGTGTCTAAAAGCGCTTAATTGTTTTGTTTTCCTTTTGGCATTGGGATGCGATAATTGATAGTTTGGGATGCGTTAAAAAGTTGAACTAATCAAAGTTATTATTCAAAAGCGAATTTTCGTTGCTATTTAAATTTGTATTATCAGAATCGGGCGGGCTGTGGAGTCGGAGTCGGACACATTTTTGGGCAAAAGGAGTCGGAGTCGAACAAAAGTACCACACTCCGACTCCTAGTTTGACTATTCTGAATAACGTTAGGCTAGGATGTTAAGTTAGTCCACATGCAGTTTTTTGGCTCATGACAGAACCATTGTGACCATTTTTATTAACAACTAGAAACCAATTTATAATTGTCTGTCCTTGTTTATAAGTGAGAGGTACTAGCTTCGCGTCAAATGACATTATTCCTGTTCTCAGATTTTTAAAACGTAATATATAGCCCTATATTCTAATCTGTTCCATAATGCACCAAAGCTCTTATTTACACTAATCTGTATCTATTTAATGCATATTTTTTTTTATTTAAATCGTTTCCTAAGTCAGTGGAAAGGTAAAAATCAAATTACGCGAAGTCACTGATAAAAGTGATCCATTGCGTTGAAAGATTTATGTAGTTGATTTCCATCGTAGTTGTCGTCGATTTCTTTTTTTTATCTTTAAAGAGATTTTCAGCCGTTGGTTGGTTCGTCTCTTTTTCGTCGTCGATTCGTTCAGTGATAGCTTATTTCTTATGGAAATTGTGACCAAATTCTTCAAAATGTTGGCAATTCAGTCATTGTGACCAATTTCAATGAAATTGAACCGGTATTTACAAAAAAAATATGTCCATATTCGATTAAAATGGTGAAAAGGTGTGATAGATTCAGTAAGAAGTTGTCAAACTCTTAAAATCGTACCCATTTCTTTTGGAAATTTTAAAATTTCTCACAGCTGGAAAACAACCGGAAATTTTAAAAGTAAGCGGGAAAACCGGGAAAAACCTAAAACTCTACCGGTGAACCGGGAAAAATCAATAATCCTTAACAGATGGCAACTTTTTTACCCCAGAGTTGCAGTATCAACTAATGAAAATGGCTAGTTCATTACTAAAAAAAGATTTCCCTTTCTGAAACTTAACTATAAATCTCAATGTTCCTTGTTTTATTAATACAATTATTATTTTATTCACTTTCATAAAGAGCTTTCGAATTATCATCATCATACTATAAACACTAAAGTGATGCAAAATTTGAAATTTTCGCTCCACAATACTTAAACGATTCCAAATCGGATCCTGACTAACCTCTCAAAATTTGAACCCATTTGGTGAGAAACTGAGATGGCACAAACCATTTGAAGATTTTTGTTCATGTCTATCTAATAATTCACCATATCGGTCTGCTTCAAAAGCTTTCAACTTGTAGGAAATTTTCCCAGCTACAACTTTGCTGAAGACCACTTTTTGATCAAATGCATGGATCGAAAGTTATCAATGGTTCAATGCGCTGATGTCTTATGATCATGCTCAGTCAACTGCTCAGTAGGCAACATTGATGTTTCTGGGGCGTTGAATAGGACACAAACATCATGGCTACTATGTCACACTGCGAAATACAGTGTTGCCTACAGAGCAGCTGCTTGATCATGTCATAAGTTTACCAATCTCTTAAACAATTAATAAGTTTTTCCTGTATCTTTTTACATAGAAACGATCTTCAGCAAAGTTGTAGCTGAGAAAATTTTCTATGAGAAAGGCTAGCGAACTGTTTCGCAGCTCAATATGGAAAAAAGACTAGAAGGCAATGAACAAAAAGTTGAGATTTCCCATAGTAATTTACATGTAAACTTCAAATGGCTTGTGCGAAGTCTGTTTCTAACCAAATGAGTTGTAACTTTGGAAGGCTTATCAGGACCCATTTGAAACCATTTAAGCACTGTGGAGCGAAAAAGTCAAATTTTGCATCAGTCTAATAAACACGTTCGCTGTCTCACTGTCTGGAATCGATTGACCACGAGCCAGCTCTTTATTATTCCTTCAACCCACGTATAATAGTTTTCTCGTTCAAGAGCATAAATTATCCTTGCATTTTGTACGATTCGAAATCATAGTTAACATACAATTTTTATCCGAATTTCCATGTTCATAATCGTCTCTGTCTCTCTCTTAATTATCATAGAATTTTTCTCTAAATTAAATGCTTGTTAAAATTCATTTGAAACTCTCCTAAAACTTTCCTTGGAATCCTTTGAAACTAACCTGAAAACTCGATTCATTTATCATTTTCTTCGAACTGTACTCAAAACTCTTCTCAGAAACCCTTCGAAATTCCACATAAATCCTTCGAATTTACTTCTGAATTTTCTTGAAATTTTCCTTTGAATTTCATTTAGTTCTGTTAAGAATCTTCCTTCGTATTCTTTTGAAATTGTCTACTGATTATTCTTTAATTTATGGTTGTAATTCTCTTTGAATTCTCATCAGAGCTCTCGTAATGTTAATTAAAATTCACCTGCTATTCTCATCAAAATCATATCATTTGGAGCTTTAAGTGCTCCGCACAATTCCTATGGAATTCTTCTAAGAATAATTTAGGATTTATCTTACCTTCTCCCCAGAATTATCTTGAAATTTATCTTAGAACTCTTTAGGACTGTATGTAGGGTATACGTCCCTAACCTCGGTCTAATATGCAGCCATCGATTACGTTTTTAATCATAACTCATCAATGAATTTACCTGCAAACGATATTCTACTGCTAAATGGTATGCTTAGATATGCTTATCATGTCGTTTGCTATCAGAAACCACGAAAAGTTGAAAAACTTACTTTTTTTAAGACAATAACTCACGAGGGAAATGTATGTAATATGGGTCTATTGTCCCCAAATTGGGTCTATTTATGGATGCAACTTCGTCCTATCTTGTTTGATCCTCAAAAAAACGCTCTTGGTAACGTTTTCTGATGTATTTTTTTTTATCACTATCACTGTTAACTTAATGCTCTTCATTCCTCAAAACATTTCTTAGAGAAAATTTTACGAAAACTACATTAAATCACTCAATTTAAAAATTAAAAATTAAAAATTTCGCTTATCGTCTTTTGACCGCAGAATATCTAAATCAGAACATTGTGATGTTCATTATACAGGTTTGGCAGAAAAAATCTCCCTTCCTGTTCGTTCCTTATCATCCAAATGCAAAACAACATTGTTGACGTTACTCTTATTGCTATATGCTGTCAAATGAATTTCATGGGCCATAGTTAGGAACATAGAAAAGAAATGTGTCCCTAAAGTTGGGTCCATGTTTTACTTGTGAAAACGTTGTTAAACAATTAAAATAAACATAAAATATTCAAACAGCAACTGTAAGTTTTACGTCTAGTGTGTATTATCAGGTAATTCCAATCAATAAATGCCATAATCAGGCCATTTGATGATCGTCAGTCAACCTTCCCATCTTAACCTTATAAGTCATGGCGGCTAAAAACTCCGAACATTGTGATATTCTCAACCAGTTTTATTACTTACGAGAGCTGAAAATGTATTGAAATGTTGTGATATAAATTGATTTGTGTGTGGTACACATTTATCAACCATCAGTGATCAATATTTTCCTTATTTTTTGTGTAATATTCCTTAATTAATTATTTATTTGCGTGATAGGCCGAATGAAAGGACTAGACCCACATTACATACCGTAACCCTATATAAAAATTATCTATGAATTCTGGTTAGAATTCCTAAAAATTTCATAAGTTCCTCCTCAACACTTCATTTCTTTTTTTAATTCTGCTTAAAATTCTCGGTATTCTCGTCAGAACTTTATAGATAAATTTTTAAATTGTAAGAACCCTGAATAGTTTAAGGGCCCATAATAATGATTTTGATTTTCAAAATCACACATTTTTTGTATTTTTTCAGTCGATTTTTTTTAAAGTCACACATCTCGAAAAAAAAAGTCGTCACATAAAGATTTCAAGATTTCTTAATACAAAAATCATGAATTCAATCTTTACAATTCGGCCTAATTTGGTCACATTTACTTTTAGTATATTTTATACAATCACTCCACAGCTAAGGATTACTTCCAGGTGATTAACAAGCTGAACTTACTGAATATAGATTTCTTACAAATTTCTAAAATTTGCTCTTGGATAAGTTTTAAAACATGTAATCATTGAAGACGTTTTTTTTCTGAGTACACAGGGTGAATATCGGCTTCGG